CCATGGCGAAGAGCCGGCGGGGTCAACAGCAGATCACACATCACCCCCTTCTCGGCTAAAGCTCCAACCGACAAGATGTTAGCCCCTAGGTTGCGGACCAGCAGAACTTCCACCGCTACCGGAACCACCGTGTTCTGATCATTCCGAACTCCAAATTTTAGCGTGCCTTTCTTGGTTGCATTTGAGTTACCACAGGACCCGATGATACGCACGGCGCAGTCCACCGGATCACGAACATGTTTGGACAGGCGGGACTCCGTGCAGACCATGTGGCTAGAAGCGGCAGAATCGATGTATACAGTCGTGTCTACAACAGCGGAGGGATTCACCGGTTCCACTTGAAACACGTTGGTGTACGTGACATACTCTGTTCCATCAGACGCCTTCTCCGCCTGAAGGTGAGTCTCTGCCACAAGCGCCGCCTGCACCGGCACATCACCAGCGGCGCACTCATCACACAGCACCGCAGCAAGCACATCCTGCACCCGCACAACTCCAGCAGCGCGCTCCTCTGGCTGCGCCGCACCAGGCACCTTCTGCACCTGCGGGTTGTCGGCGGTGCGGGTTTCCGGCAGCGCCGCAGCAGGTGCCTCCTGCACCCGCATGTAGTCATCTCCGATAACAATTGCGAAGTCCTCCAGCTCGCTGCTGGGTCCCTCGATCCGCGTAAACCACGCCTGCGTGGTCGACTCCTGCGTGACATGAGCAGCCTGTTCCTTGGCTTCTTCTGCCTCCTGCGAAAGGCGAAGCGGGCAGTTGTGCCACCCGTGCACTTTGGAGTTGTGACAGTACCTGCACAAGCCCTTCGAGTTTTGACCATTATCCCGGCCCCTTCCTCGACCGTTGCCACCGAAAGCTTGGCTACCGCGACCATTGCCGCGTCCGCCTTGCGCATTTCCCGCGCTGTCTCCGTGTGTCGTGGCACCTCCGTTGTTCCCGTTCGACGAACCGCCGCCCGTCGAACCGTTCGTAGTTTGGCCGCCATTTCTTCGACGACCACGTCCGCCACGTCCGCCACGTCCGCCACGCCCCCCTTGCTTGCGGAAAGCACGGGCTCCTCCGTGCGTGACAGTGTTCAATGCCCGATCATGGCTGCCTGCCCCGTCAGCGCGGCCAGAGTCTTTCCCCCGGATTCGCATTGCGTGAAATGTTGTAGCACGGAGGGCGAGTGAGTACTTCGAAATCAACCGTACCATCAGCCGACCTCTGCGACTCACACAGCAACGCAGTCTTCAGTTCGCCGTAGTGACTGTCCGGAAGAGCGTCGTGCAAAGCGTTGGACAGACGCGAGTCGACGACAACATCGCCGAGAGAACCCAACTCGGCAGAAATGCGGCGCAACTCCTGGATTGCGCGCGACGGATCAAAATATTCGTCGGCTGCTGTGACGGCGACGGATGCCAGTTGGGCGTGCAGCTGCTTCATCCGATACGGACCCGCCACCTTGTACTTTTTGTCTAGCGCCACAAAGGCAGCACGACCATCCCCATACTCAGCCTCTCCAATCGGCCCGTACCTCTGTACCACCTGTGATGCCGCGCGGGAGAACCCTCCTGCGCCGTCGGACGTCGACATAAGAAGCCGCATGTACAGCTCGCCATTTCTCTCTGCAAATTTCTCCATCGCAGTGGCATGCGCCGTCCGTGCATCCGGGGTTTCATCTCCCGTCAGATCTTCAGGGGGTTGTTCTTTTCCAGACAATATCTTCTTTCCGAGGCCAGCCTTATGCATCAAGACCCGTGTGAGAGTGACCCATCCAGAGAAGCTCGCATCCTCACCATCAAAAGGCACAAACCCACGTTGTATTGGATTCGTGGTGGGAGCTGCAGACGCCGTGTGACTCGTGTCAGTTCCCCTGCCGCGCGAGGCTCACGACCTAACAGCACGACAACGGCTGTTGTATGCTATGGCTCTGTATGTGACGGAGGCTTGGGTAGAGAAACACAGAGTGATTGTATTATCTTCACACCGACGCCCAAGCTGTCTTCACCTGACGACGGTTACAGACTTGGCGACGCCTTCACAATACCGCATAACCATGCAGTAGATTAGAGCCGTTCTTGTACTACAAGCACTTCCAACAGTCACCACACGTGCGTTCAGATTCGCAGCAGGTGGCATGCCGGTAGACAAGCTTAGGGCATCGATCACGCGCGCCCAAGCAAGTAATCCAAAGAACCAAACAATCATGATCCATATCCCCCCCCCTCGGGTCTGTGTACCGACCATGCCACTTCGCCACACGCAAATAAATGACGTACGAGTGATTTTCAAGGCAGCCTCAAGGCCAACAAGGTCAAGACCTGTCTGTCCATTCGACAACAACCAAGATTACGACATAGGCTACAGTATGTAGTATCCGGTGGCCGGTCGCCCCGGTGGTCTAGTTGGTAGCCTCGTAACCTTCTAGATAGAGGTCAGGTCAGGGGTTCGAATCCCGGCGTAGGTGAGCTTTTCTTGCAAAGTGAGTTTTTCTCTCGCTTCCGCTCCTGGCCAAGTGGATAGCGCTAGTTCGTGTGTACACAGAGGGAAGAGAGTGCTGAACTCTTCTCGCATTAAAAAATGAAGGCGAAGCACCGTAGGAGGGGAGGGTAGAGAGAGGCTCTTCTGTGTGACCACGGGTTGGAATAAACGGCATGCTGTGAGCGCTGATTTGAAGTGAAGAACAAAAAAAAAAAAAATCCGGTGCATCCATGCCCAGAACAAAATCGTCTCTTTCGTTGAAGGAGAAAAGTCTCCACGTGAAAATTGATTACGTTGTGGTTTGGCGGCCAAAAATTGGTTCTTACTTCCTCCGCCCGGTGGTCCTGTTCATCACGCTCTCGATGCCCTGCCTCCCCATCCGCGCTCTGGCGTAAAGAAAGTAAGACAGAGGGGGTTCTTGCTGGAAAAAGAACACCAAGCGGAGGAGACAGGATTTACTTTGATCGTAAATTCTGTGGTCAATCGTCCCCACGGGATCTCTCTTTCCAGCCTTCGAAGAACAGGAGAGCTACTACTGGTGGTCGTTGTTCGACAATCAATCACGGGGCTTGGCCAGGTGAGAGGAGGGGAGGAATAGAACCCCTCCACGAGATGCAGCGCTTCACTTTAGCTCATGAGTGATGGATACCTTCGAAGCGGCTGATGGGAGGGCGCCCAGACTCTGTTGCATGCACGCATGCCCACCAGGGAACGGGTACAGCACAAACAGCTCGGACCCAGAAACTTGTCAAGTTGTCGGTGCAATATCATTTTTCGAAAGCGTACGTGAATGGGCGCCACGTATCATTGAACGTATCCATTTGCATCATACAGGAAGATGTGGACGGCTGGTGTCTTTGCTAGGCGCGGTGACCTAAATATGAACGGAGCTGGTGAGCCCGTGTATTCCGCGGAGGAAGCGGAGCTACACCCTTTGTGCCATCCGTATGTACATGTGTCGCAACACGGCAAGCTGCAGGACAAGTCAAAGTTGTTCCGCGAGATATTTGTGGGGGGTTGCACATGCGCACACATGTGATGTGCACCACCAGCAGTTTGCGAGTTGAATTGCATTGTATGCATCATATTGACGTGGATATCCGGAAACGTCTGGCCCTGACATCATTGGGACGTCGCATGGACACCCGATGGGACGAGCGGACGTACCATGCGTTCCAACGGTTTTCGATATCGGCCCCAACAGTACATTAGCTCAAATCTATGCCACGTACTGTACTCTGTGCAATAGCTAGCTGTCGTTGGAGGTGCAATGATTTCTCGGACAGGTGCATTTGGCTATTTTTATGATGGTGGTGGGAGTATCGCCCGAACTTGGAGAGTCTATGGGCAAAAACGTTCACGGGAAGGGTACCTCCTCAGAGCAATCTCCCACACTACTGGCAGTTTTGCTACATAAACCGCCCATGGGCGGTCCATTGGGCGGTCCCATGGGCGACCCATGAACTGCCCATCCATGAAGTACCTACCGTGGGCACTTCAACCTACCACTTCGCCACCGGCATTTCAACCTAGAACTGAGCCATTGGCACATCGACCTAGAACTTGGCCGCCCAGCACCAAACTAGCACGTATCGTGTGGGTTTGGGGTTAGGGTTGGGGTTACCGTATATGACACAAGATAACACACCCCCTTGGCCGATTTTCAAAGCTCGATTTCTCAACAGCAGGAAGAGTCACAGCGCCGAAAACGGCGGCGTTGGAACCGTCTCGTCGAGAGCTGTTCGAAAACGTATTGTTTCATTTATGCATCCTCTTCGTCGTGGAGTAATCGAGCTTTGAAAATCGGTCCAGGGGGTGTGTTATCTTGTGTCATATACGGTAGCCGTTGTATTGCTCGTTCCAGAGCAAATAATCTATTTTTTTGGAATACACTGGTTCCGGTTGAAAGGGACTCATTGGCCGCCCATGGGCTGCCCATGGATCAACCATGAGTGCCCCATGGGCGGTTTAGCAAAACTGTAGAAAGTGTGGGAGACCCCCGAGAGCGGCGGCATCCTTATCCTTTAAGGGCTTGTTGAACGCGTGTTTTTGTTCACAGCAGCAATAAGATTGCCGCCAAGGCAATAATGAAGGTTTCCTCTATATGTATCGTAGCTGACGTAGGATACCTACTCCTTGGGCCGATTCTGGAAAACTCGACTTCGGTATATAGGTGTTTATTGTGTTGGCCACGCTTAGCCCCCACATTCTTCCTTATTCCATGCTTTTACGCGTCATTGATACCCACTCGAGACCGCTCCCTCAGAAGTTCAACGACCATTCTGAGCATGAACGCCTCCACAGTCTACACTTCATTACGTATCCGGACAAATACAACCGAGTAGGCACGTTTAGGGAGAATGACATGTATCCCGACGACGCCATCGAAATGTGGGACCCTGCCTGGCGTACTGCATTTTTTTTGCTGGACGTGCTTGAACAGTCCGCAGAGAAAAAAGCGAGTGCAAGGGGCTCTCCCTCTTGCAACGGATGCCCTCTCCTATTGCTCTTTAACTCATTTTTCTATTTTACGCAGGATGACAGGCACCTCCACCCCCACAACGGTGGTGCGACTTCTACCCTTTGCGACCTGCCTCTGGTTCGCCGTGTGCAGCACCGGAGCCGGCAAAGCCCACGCCGAAGAAGTAAGATTGACCAACGAAACCACAGCAGCACCGCCCGAGAGGTCGCCGTCTTTGAGATTTAACGGCGCCGTCATACCCATCACCGCGGGGGACCCATCATGCGGACCGAGCGCGCTGTACAACAGGACCATAGACTATTCGCGCTATGAATACGGGTGTCCAGAGATTGAGGTAAGAAATTATGAGGCTGGTGTACCTGCAGCCAGGCTTTGCATGCATTGCACCCTACCTTCACCCACGTGATGAGCCTATTCGATACAACCCCCCTCGAGGACTCGTGGTCACTGGTCAAACAACTACGGCATGCACAACATGAGTACGCCCTCGTTTAAACTGGGACGTTCGAATAGATTCGAGATTTTCTTGTCTAACGATGGCCAAGGTCAGGTAGTCGCATCCCGGTTTCGATGTCGTTCAGAGTCGAGTGCTCGTTTATGAGACTAGCTAGGCCCGCCCTTTGCTGTACACATAGACAACCGGGAAATGGCCGTTCGATCTCTCTTGTGACTATAAGTGAGGACACATGAAACACCGCAAGCTTGCAGCAATTTCAAGACAAATATCTTCTCCTATGTGCATGATGGAAAGCAGGGAGACCGCGTTGACGGAGCAAACGCTACAAAAATGTGTTTGTGTACTGTAGACTAAAGAACCTCTCATACCTGCAGAGAGCATGCGACACTGTTAGGACTTATGACCATATGACCATGAAACACAGCAAGCTTGAGACGATGTTTCGACAACAAGACCATATTACATGATGACGAAACACACATCCCCCCGTGTTCACTGCGGGAGAAGGCGATGATGGTGGGGCCGAAGCACTACATCGCCGGCGGTAACAGCCGGGATGTTTTTCTGGTGGACTACGAGGGCCACAAGCTCGTCCTCAAGACCACCAAGCATGAAAGCGCACATCTCTCCACACGGCACGCCATGGAAGCCATCGCTCTGGATGTGGTGAGCACGGGGGTGGGGCACCGCTTGATGTTGCCCTAGGCGGGGACACAACAGCTCGGTGTGACAAGCAACAGTGTTCACCAATTTTTATGTGTAGGCGTTCGAACAAGTTTGGGCGCAGGCGACCTAGGTATGTACGTTTCGGCAACGTTCGTCTTGTGAAACCAAGACTCCCCCCGTCCTGCCGATGGCCTACAGGGTGAAGGCTTGCCGGCCGAACGTGTGTGAGTCTGCGGTGGCACCTCCGGCAAAGCCCACGGCGTCATCGAGGATTGTTCCACACGCGCCGCCCCGAATAACCGACAGCTCGGTTTTGCCTCGTGCGTTGTCGAACAGCATCCATTATTCTCTCACGCACTGCCTGTCTGTTCCCCAGATACTTCGAATATTCCCTTGTCTTTCCTCTTTGACGCGCTGCACGGACGTTCAATGTTGCTGTGTACCTCTTGCCCAACCCAAGGTGATAGGTGCGCCCTACATCGCGCCGACACTGGGTGTTTGCGGTACGGCTTCCGTCCAACCCTTCTTCGCAGGGGGGACCGTGGAGGGCCTCGTTTTCGAGGGGGCTTGGACGGGAGTCCCGATAGAGATGCCTGTCGTCTTGCAGATGTCGCTCGACGCCATGAGGGGTCTGCAGGTGCTGCACGAGGCCCCGGGCGGCCCGATCATTCACAACGCGATCAGGCCGGAGCAGCTCCTCCGCTACGCCAACGGTGCGAAGAAGCTGCCTGCCTGCGCAGAGGTCGTTATCCTCTGGTTAGGATCGGTTGTCCTCGGCCGGGACAGGTTCATTCTGGGTTCGAATCCTTGTCTTGCAGTACGTGCATCACGTCTATGCGCCACTCAGGCGCGCGTTGCTGTAGCTAAGGGGCTTACCGTAGATATATATGGGTTGCCCGAGTGCCGGCGAAGCTTGGCGTCATCGTCGAGTTTCACATTACGACCACTTTTTCTCTTGGCGTCGAACCCTTTGGGTTACCCTCGCTGCCGGAAAGTACCGTGGTACCGAAGAAGCGATTCATTCCCAAACAACGTGAACAAAAACGGCGTTTGTCGCCTGTTTGCCTGATCACACCACAAACCTCCGTACCGATCCATAACGCCACGGTTGGGCGGCGGTTTCGATTGCGTCGGGGGCGGCGATGAATTGTGGTCGGTCCTACGCATTTTCGGTTGTTTCATTGTCTCAAGCACAACTGTCATTATCCGCACTGGCATTCCACGCACGCGCTTGGATCCCCCTCTTTCCTGGTGCGTTTTTTTCAGGCACCGTCGTCGTGAGTGACCTAAACTCTTGCAATTTCATGGGGGTAACGCCGAGCGGGGAGGCCTGCCCGACGAGATCAGACATCAGCCACAACGCCCGATGGAACGCACCGGAGTTCTACGCAGACGGACAGGTAGAACCCGGTCAGTCATGTTGTATGCGGGAGGAGAGACAGACTGGCCGCGTCGTACGTCGGCGTATGATCACCGAAACAGGACTCCACGTTGTCTCCCAAGAGTGAAAGGAGCTACGCCAAAACTTGAACCCCCTTGCCCTACCGTTCATCTTTTGCAGACCGACCAAACCGATCGCCGGATAGTCCATTGGACGCTTAAGAAGAAGGTCGACCTTTCGTCGGGCGTTGGCTTTCGTTCTTGGTTCGCCGACGAGAATAATACACCCTCTTGCCTTTCTACCATTGTTTATGGCGTGAATGCTGTGATTTCATTTTGTTTTTTTGTTCTCTCGTAGAGGAAATTCTGACATTTCACTGTGCTCTCTGCTTTCTTGCGTAAGGGCTACACCGAGATGGTCGATATCTACTCCATGGCGATAGTCTTCTGGCAGCTCGTGTCCCTCAGGACTGTCCCGTTCGAAAGCAAACACCGTCGCGACATTCCTGATCTGGTGGCCTCCCACCAGAGGCCTTTCGTCGACCCCTCATGGGACCCACACTACGCACAGGTCAGTTTGGTGTACCATGGTTCTCTCCTATTGTACTAAACTCCTACCGTGTCGTAGACGAGGCTGAACAAAATCCGAGCACGTTGCCTTGTTTTTAATATATCGTTGTTCCAAATTTTTGATTTCATTCAGGTGTCTGACACGCGTTTGCACCTAGGTAGCTACACCTGCCCTGTTTGCATGAAAGCTATGTATATCTTTGTTCACGTGGTTGGTTGTATACGGCGCAGCTTCATTGTGGTCCCCCATTGCCGCTGATTTTCAAAGAAATCGGAAGTGAATGTAACATTGGGCCCACCTCACACGATAGTCATACTGTAACGCCATTAAGAACATATTTCAGACTTGGCGAGTCTTTCGCGGCGAGCGACAGCACGGCAGCACTCCTTACCGTTCATGATTTCACAAAAGCTACCCGTTCGAGACATAACCATGGTCGAAGGGGGTGTATTGCATTCTTTACAGTGAGAGTGGGGGGAAAACCGGCTGGGTAAGAGGCCTTACATTGACCCAATGTGAACTTTTTCATTCGTCATCCAGGTCCGATCGAACGTGAGGGGGCGGGGGGCTTTTTCTGACAGAATGCCGGAGCAACCCTCTCTTTATGACCCAGAACAACCCTCGTTTGTGTCCCGCACATGATGGTATCTTCATTCTGACGATTCTGCACAACCGTCCGCCGCGCGCGTCTATTGTTCTGTTCATTGGTTGTTCTTGTAGCTGTTGCAGGACATGTGGAGAACAGACCCCGAGATGAGGCCATCCGCGAGACAAGTTGTTGCACGTCTCGAAGAGATGCTGCAGTGAACGCATCAGGCTGTGAGAAGGAAGCGCCCTTTTGGACAGTCAGTGTTTTGCTCTTGTCGGCTTGGAGGCAGGCCCGAAGTCTCGGCATGAAACCTGTTCAAGACGTCACTCAGTTGTGAATGGCAGGTTGCCGTCGAAGAAGCGTTGACATTTTCATGCACCTCCAAAAAAATGTTTGGTCCGGCGAAATCGCAGCAGCTGTGATTGCCTCTTGCGGACAATGTCGACTGTCGAGTCATGCTGTTGGTGGTACTGGAATACTTGTGACTAGCTGACGCCAAAGGCCGATCCCCCTGTTTAGTGGTGTTCCATAGTCTCGATTGGTTTCTCCTTGCTGGCGTTCCTCCTGTCCCGCCCTCTTTCCGCGCATTGTGTCTTGTGTAATTTTAGAGTGTAGCATTTTTAGTCCGTCCATCCTTGCAGTTGGCGCCCGCACCTCTGGTCTTGGCCAATATCACCAATGGTGCCCATGTTCTTTGAGTTTAAGAGTTTCGAGGCTCGAATTCTTGACTTCCACGGAAGAGGGTAGATTGCATTAGGGATAGGGTGCTGCACGCACGAGCCTCCGCTACACTTCCCGGCGCTACAGCAGCCTTCAAGAGTGCATGGGCCAACACCGAAACAGCATGGTTGTCACAGATATTGTTTCTTCGAGAAGTGATGGATTGATGTATGTTCCGCGCCTTTGTAGAGTCTACTCTGTATCGCCGTCAGTAGCTACAGGTTTAGCAGGGGCGGGTGGACTTTCGGCGAAAACGCCCGACGACGAGATCCCCCGCTTGGTAGGGGTACGGGGACAGGTTCTTCCCTGCGTTATCTTTATGGTTTGAGTTTGCACTCTGTAGTGTTCTTCGTGGTTGTAACCCAGCTTGCGCGTCGGAGCAATGGACTCTAGGTACAAGGGGGGGGTAGCGAGCACTGAGCCACCTCCTGCGCCAAGGCCTTCTTGAACAAAATAGCGAATCACATTGATATCGAGGTAGCTCTCGTTAGCTACGATCATGGGCTACAACAAGTATCATCACTGGTTACTTGATGAAGCCGGCACAGTAGACCGAAGTTGGCCTTGCAACTTTGAGATAAACGCGCCCCGGCAGGTAGTAACGGGCACAAATTTTGGTGGTCGATAGCCCCATGTGTTAACGACTTTCAAGACCGATGAATTCGGTGCACACGCGCAAAACACACATGCTTCAAAAACAAAGGTCACGGAAAGAAAAGATTCCAACACTCGGCGACGAAAACATCGCATCCCCGGGGTTTGGACGCGGATATTAGGGACAGTTGTTACCCTCCGCTGTCGGTACACTGCGTGTTGTGTGCAATCCAAACGAGTGGAACAACCCTTTTGGTGGATACATGTGTACTCCTGAAAACGAACACAAGGCCAAAAGATTGTTCGGGTGATCTATGGTGCGTGTTCCAAGATGGTTATTTTGCTGATCTTGCTTGTAGCTTGTGAGAATCTAAAGCCGTTAACCGCTACTATGGCTATGAATGTGAAAATTGTGGACTGATCGCACCAGCCTGCTACAAACAGCACACAACCCTATATGGTGCGAGTCGACTACGCGTCATCAAATTTTGCTATGTTTGGAACTTGTCTGGTTCTACTTTGAGCGTACAGAACGCGCCATCACCGAAGAACTCAATAGGAAGAACTTGAGCCTATATATAGAAAAAATCCAAAATCTTGGACCTTGGGCATAAGCACAGGTGCTCAGTCCTACACAAAAACCCACGTAGTCGCCGCGGGGGTAGTACCCCATAGGCAAAATTAGAAACGAGTCTCGGCCACAATAAGAGCTCGTGGCGCGTTCTGTGTATATGTAACAAGGAGAAAAAAAACTTCCCGCGGCTACATATCAACAAGCAGGAATCCCGCCGCGAGGCATGTCGCACCCCCAACGAGGCCCTCGATCTATTTGGCGCGCTTCCTCTGTGCCAAGAGCCCCCCGACCATCACCGCGCTTGCATCGACTCCAACGACGAGGTGTCCACGCACTTCTAGGTCTCTGAGGGCCGTCCCGCCGAGAGATTCTTCGAGCTCCTGGTTTGAAGCAACGATGGCGACGTCCTCCAGGGGTGGGCAATCGGTTGGCCGCGCTTTCCTCTTTGACGTTAACCGTAGCCGGCTTATCGCCCGGTCCTTGTTCACTGGCCATAGCCCAGCGGCGGCGAATGATGCCTTGTTCTGCTCCAGTGAAAAGCTCGATTTCCAAGCCTCTGCGATTACCCCTGGTTTCCGCGGCAGTATCCCGCCGTTCTTGAGGCGGAAGCTTGACAGCACTTTCGTCACCTCCCGCTTGAAATTTCCGACGTCCAAGGGCTGGATAACGTGCGAAGTATGGGGGGGCAGCTGGAAGAGAACGATGTTGAGGTCCATGGCCAGCCTGATGGCGTCCGAGCTCACCACCACGCGTGAGGCGAGCCCATCGCCGAGCACGAGGATGTGCGGCTTCCCGTCCAGCAAGTCAAGCCCGCCGAGCTGCTTGTGGAAGTCCTTCAGGTAGTCCATGAACGCGTTGGTGCGCGTAGACGAAGACTCCGTCCAGCAGGCGTACCTCGCACCCCGCGGACCGTTGTTAAGCCAATCAGTCTCAAGCCGCCGCCCTTCGAAGATTATCGATGGCGCAAACGTGTGGCCGTTCGCGCTGATGGTGGACACCACGGTAGTAGTGGTGGTGGTGTTTTCTCGCATCTTGGGGCGAATAGAATCAACCGCCCCTGTTCCCGCAATCGCGTTCAACGTCTGGGTGCCTTGCGAGGTTGCACCTATTAGTAATAAACGGGGAGATCGCGTAAGGTAGGGTTCAGGGGGGCGGACGGCCGGCGCACACACCAACACAAACAGTTACATGCTTTCCAGCAGTCGTCCAGGTAAAGGATTCAACGAGGGGGGTGCGGTGGTTCAGGTGTTTATGGTGCGGCAAACGCGTTCAACCTACGCAATCTATGATCGTCTACCATAATAGCGGTAGCTGGAACAGGCAACAGGAAAAGTAACAGGTAGTGGAGGGCCGAGCTAAACAACCTTGTGCCTATACCTGTAGACTCGTCTGCTGTAGATCATCGTTTGCACACGCAGCCACTCGATGTGGCATCCACAAGTTACACGTTCTGCACCGCTGCAGGTCCCTCGAGCTACAGCAGCTGGCGCCCGCACGGAACAACCTCTAGTTATGGCCGAGGCTAGGGTCCTCAAGTATTTGTGCTGCACCAGTTATTGGCGTACGTACTAGGTATGTTGGATGTACTCACAGCATCAACAGATTATTGCGAGCAAGAATTTCCCGAGCAGATGGAGCGGGGAGTTTGGGGGTTCAATGGTTGCTATGGATTAGATTTGGTGGTACCAACTTTATCACATATTGCAGGTTTGAGGGTATGGGTGTCTACAACGGAATTTGTGTGCGTGGCTTGTGGTTCCTCACTTCCTTTTTCTGTGTATAATCAAGTCCTTTTTCCGGCTCTCACGCCAACCCCGGCTTCCACGCCCATACTCCGGCTATCACGCCAACCCGGCTTCCACGCCTTCAGGACTCCCACGTCCCTACATATACCTTTACATCAGGGCTACCACGCCACCCGGCTTCCACGCCACAACTATATTATACACGAGCTTCCACGCTCCACCACGTAGAAGGGCTTTCACGCCCGCGGATAGTTTCTACATTTTGACCGTTGGCAGTACCCAGCTGCTGGCACCTTTTGTTTCCCACTACGGGACCCCGCGCCGAGGCACCCACGCACAAAGCTACTCAACACGATCAAGAGAGTGGCCGCTGTGTCTACGCGCGCAAGATGCCGGATGGAGACGGACGACAGCCTCCGGGGGGACAAGGTCATGGTGATCCTTCCCCGGGAGAAGGCACCGGCGATGGAGGAACCAACTATTCGTTCACCGCCGATGCAGAAGAACAAGACAATCTGGGAGGGAGAGCGGCGGCGGGGGGAGATCAGCAAGACTCGATGCGTCAGCTGGTCGACCTTCTCAAGCATGCTTTCACGGCAAACTCCCAGGACCAGGGGCATCGTGCCCATTCAGGCACGTCTAGCGCCCAGACAGTAGAGTTGAAACAGCGGGACAAAGTCGAGGTCCCTGTTTGGAGTGATGATTTCCTCAAAAATCGATCGATGGAGGTTGCGTTGCGGATTTTCACGAGTGCGTTTGAAGCGTGGATGGAGAACGAGGGAGTGGTTGACGCAATGAGAGGCCCAGAGATTCCTGTAGCTGCAGCTCAAGTGAATGTGGATTGGATGAAACGTTCGTTTGGTGAGGAGAGAGTAAAGCAGTCTAGGAAGGTATGGATTTTCATGCTGTCGAAGATCACGGCACAATCTATTCAAGGGCAATTGCTCGCAGCGGAGAGTCCGCAAGCAGGGTACAAAATTTTCTTGGACTACTACCGACGCAGTAAAAACGAGGAGAGGCAGACGTTTGATGATCAGTGGAATGTGCTGTGTCAGAGGAATGGAGAAAGTTTGATGGACTACTTCGGTAGAGCTAAGGCGCTTTGGATGAGACTGGTGTCATACGGTGATAATCGTGCTGAAGTGTCCATGTGCAAGCACATCGCTCGGGGTTTTTTGCCAGAATTTGAGAAAATTAAAGAGCGTGTCCTTTTTCACCCCATGTTGTCGAGTGCACAAATGCAGGAGGCGTTGAGGACGGCTGAGCACGAGCAGAGGTACGAGCGGAGGTCTGGAGAGAGAGGAGAGGAGACGAGGCACGCCCTCGTCGCTGCCGGCATGGGCCGGGGCGGCGGGCAGAGGAGACCAGCCATTGTCGGCATGGGTCACGGCGGTCACGGCGGACCGCAGCAGCAGCAGCAGCAGCAGCCACAGGCGTCGATGCAGCCACCGCAGCAGCAGCAGCGGCAGCAGCAGCAGCAGCAGCAGCAGCAGCTGGGACCGTACATCTGCCAGTACCACGGGCCCAACAGCTCGCACGCGACCGCTGACTGTCACAAGTTGCGCAGCGAGTTCCTGGCGAATTA